CGGGAGCGCCGCCGCACTCCCAAGCGGCGCACTGTAGCAGTGCGCCACCGGACCGGCCCCTGCCTTTTCTTTCTCTTAACATGACAAAGAGGGAATACTACCCTACAACCTAGCAATCCTTTTTCTGGAAAGTTCTGGCAGTACTAATGAGTATGTGTAAGTATGTGCATATACAAAGATGTCCTTCGCAGTACTGTTTACAAAACCAAAAACTAGACATTGCCTAATTTTACATTAGTATGGGAATTTTTTTTAAGTTACAGCCATGTTATGGAATGCCATTTAGCCATCAAAAAGAATGAGAAAATTTTATATGCTTCTGATTCACAAAGGCAGCCACGTGTTAAGCAAGATGCAAGACAATGTGTAGAATGTGGCACTATTTTCTTTAGAAAATACATACTATATATTTAATATATTTTTAAAATGTATTTAACAAACTAAAATGTAATATAGATATGTTTTATGTGGATACATTATGTATTTGTATAAACATAGAAAACTCTATGCACCACCCCAGGAGGATATGGCCAGTGAGTGAGACTTAGCACTTCTGTACTGCTGAAGTGTGACACAATGAGGGATGTTATTGGGAAAAATAAATAAACATCTTACCTTGCCCCTACCGCCTCCCCCTGCCCCCTGATTCTATCCCCCAAAGATGGGGAGCATTTATGTGCTCCTAATAACTGGTCAAAATGTTCCCCTTTGGAATGAATGCTGCATTATAACAAGTCCCAGAAGCAAAAGAACAAGCTGTCCCTCTCCCTCTCCCCTGCCCTCCTCCCCCCATGTGTTTGCAGCAGGCCTCAAGTCTTACCCCCGGGTTGAGAAACAGGTTTATGTGTTTATGTAGCAAAGCTTGATTCTGCTGGTTGCCTGCGCAGAAATTCTGCAAAAATTCATGAGCCAGCCTCATTATCTCCTGCATCTTGGTATCTTCGGCCTGTGTAGGAGGAGACAGATGAACATACGGCTAGGCCAGGAGACGGGCTTCTCCTGCACCCCCACGCCTCCTGCTGAGGTGGAGCTCAGGAGGTGTTTGCTGAGGACCTGCTGTGTGTAAATATTGAGGCACTGCACTGCCGACCCTGAGAAGCAGCCAGGAACTTGTTCACAGCTCATGGATGAAAATGAATTCTCTTCTGCTATCCTTAAGCAGAAATGAAAAGATTTTATGGAGGGATTAGGGGTGGGAAAAGCAATACAGTCAAAACTAACCGCAGGCCTCAGGGACTCCACTGTCTAGCAATGGCTGAAACTTCTGAACCCCCACTTCTGAAAACAGGGACTGAGAGCAGAGCAGGGGCTGGCTTCCTCACGGGTGGTGGGTCACCATTTCCCCAGCTCTCAGACTCATCTTTCTGTTGCCCAACCTACATTACTTTTTGGCAGCAAGTAACACTGCAGAGTGGAGATCTCCTTAGATTATAAACCAGGGCAACCGCACCTGCCGTAACTCCTTTCCTTGTCACCTCAGGCAGATTTTTTAACCTGAGACTTAGTTTTCCCATGTGCAAAATGGAGACAATACCTGCCCTGGGCATTTAACATGGTTGGATTCTCACACACAAGATTATGTGATTCTCATTTGATGTATTAAAAACATACATGTCTTTTTTAGCATTAGATATCCTGCAATATGGCAAGTATATAAAACCTATTGTCATTCTGTCCAATCCTAAACAAGCAAACATATTAGACAGTAAAAAGAGTAAGAATCCCTAAAATGGAAATCATCCTTCATATTCATACGGCCCACAACAGTCTTCCTAAGGCTTCTCTGATCCATTGCCTTTCAGCGGCAGAAAAAAAAGCAGCAGAGAGTGTAGCAGTCATGAACACAGTCACAAACGCAGACCACAAACCGTACTGCCTTGTTCTTATCCCAGATCTACAGCTTCCTAGGTATGTGACCTGGAGCAAGTTACTTAACTTCTCAGTGCTGCAGTTTCCTCATCTGCAAAATGGAGATTATAAAAGTGCATGCTTCATATGGCTGTTATGAAGACTAAAAGAGAAAACTCATGTCAAGTGATTAGACAGTGATTACTTAGTAAATGTTAGCTATTGGTTCTGGTCTGGACTGAGGTCGGCAAACTTTCTCAAAGGGAAAAGAGAGTAAATATTTTAGGCTGTGTGGGTCAAGAGGCAAAAATCAAGGACATTATGTGGTACTCATGTAACTTATTTTGAAATGTAGCAACCATTCTTAGCTGAGATGCTCTACATAAACAGGTGGTGGGCTGAATTGGGCCCATCTCTTGTAGTTTGCCTACTCCTAATCTAGAAAATAACCCTGTCAAAAAACAGGACATATCTGTCAAGAACAAGTGCCAGAAAGAATCTGAGCTATCACCTTTGATAATCAAACAAAAACAGGGGAATTAGAACATTAACAGTGAGTCTTAGTATGACAGAGCAGGTATTACATTTGTCTCTCACTAACAGGGGGAGTGGCAAACCTCCCAGCTCCAAGAAATCAGAGGGCTTGGGATAGACAGCCACTGCAGGTTGATAGCAGTAAACTTAAACAGTTCTGCATGCTTCCATTTCCTCTAAAAAAGGAATCCACTGGTGCTCAAGGCAACTAAAGAGCCTTTGTGGTTTGAAGTGGATTTTTACAAGGCAAACAAGCTCTAAAGACATCACATCACAGGAGGTGACCTGTTGCTGGGAATCCCTCCACATTCTCACACACTGGGATGTCTGTGCCTGTCCAAAAGCAAACAAGTACACATACACCATATTCTGCTCTGAGCCACCAATTCCAACCAAATCTGGTTCGCTACAGATTACTTCAACACTATTCTTTTTTTTTTTTGTCTTTTGTCTTTTTTCGTGTCCGGCAACGGATCGCAACCCTCAGTGTTGCCCCCGTACCGGACCAGGGACCGGCAACGGGATCGCAACCCTCGGGGTCGCTCCCGCGCCTCGCTCAGCCAGTGAGCGGGAACCGGTCTGTATGTGGGATCTGAACCCTCGGGCGGGAGCAGCAGCTGTGTGCAGGACCCGCTCACCTTCTCATAGGGGATCTGCAGCAGCTCCAGCACCACGGCGTGCGCGCCCATGTTCCGGAGCAGGCGCTGCTGCTGCTTACGGCTCTTCCGCACCGAGGCAC